ATACACAGAACGGTGTTGCTTGCTGTGGTTTGCATTTTTGCAAATTTGGTTTTGGGAAAACGGAGCAAGGGTTTGCCTTATTTATTTATGTATTTATTTATATTGCATTCTTTCAGCCCTGTTTGCTCCTTAAAGTCCTATTATTATTATTATTATTATTCGATACACAACACGGCGTTGCTTTTTGTGGTTTGCATTTTTGCAAAGTTGGCTTTGGGAAAACATAGCAAGGGTTTGCTTTATTATTTATTTATTTATATTGCATTCTTTTAGCCCTGTTTGCTGCTTAAAATCCTATTATTGTTATTATTATTATTATTATTATTATTATTATCATTATCATTATTATTCGATACACAACACAGTGTTGCTTGTGGTTTGCATTTTTGCAAATTTAGCTTTGGGAAAACAGAGCAAGGGTTTGCATTATTTATGTATTTATTTATATAGCATTCTTTCAACACTGTTTGCTGCTTAAAGTCCTATTATTATTATTATTATTATTATTATTATTATTATTATTATCATTATTATTCAATACACAACACGGTGTTGCTTGTTGCAGTTTGCATTTTTGCAAAGTTGGTTTTGGGAAAACAGAGCAAGGGTTTGCTTTATTATTTATTTATATTGCATTCTTTCTGCCCTGTTTGCTGCTTAAAGTCCTATTATTATTATTATTATTATTATTCAATACACAACACAGTATTGCTTGTTGCGGTTTGCATTTTTGCAAATTTAGCTTTGGGAAAACAGAGCAAGGGTTTGCATTATTTATGTATGTATTTATTTATATTGCATTCTTTCAGCCCTGCTTGCTGCTTAAAGCCCTATTATTATTATTATTATTATTATTATTATTATTATTATTATTCGATACACAACATGGGTGTTGCTTGTTGTGGTTTGCTTTGGCTTTGGGAAAACGGGGCAAAGGTTTGCATTATTTATTTATGTATTTATTTATATTGCATTCTTTCAGCCCTGCTTGCTCCTTAAAGTCCTATTATTATTATTATTATTATTATTATTATTATTATTATTATTATTATTCGATACACAAAATGGGTGTTGCTTGTTGTGGTTTGCATTTTTTGCAAAGTTGGTTTTGGGAAAACAGAGCAAGGGTTTGCATTATTTATTTATGTATTTATTTATATTGCATCCTTTAACCCCTCTTTTCTGCTTAAAATCCTATTATTATTATTATTATTATTATTATTATTATTATTATTATTAAATATACAACACAATGTTGCTTGTTGTGGTTTGCATTTTTGCACAGTTGGTTTTGGGAAAACTGAGCAAGGCTTTGCATTATTTATTTATGTATTTATTTATATTGCATTCTTTCAGCCCTGTTTGCTGCTTAAAGTCTTATTATTATTATTATTATTATTATTATTATTATTATTATTCGATACACAACATGGGTGTTGCTTGTTGTGGTTTGCTTTGGCTTTGGGAAAACAGAGCAAGGGTTTGCATTATTTGTTTGTGTATTTATTTATATTGCATTCTTTCAGCCCTGTTTGCTCCTTAAAGTCCTATTATTATTATTATTATTATTATTATTATTATTATTATTATTATTCGATACACAACACAATGTTGCTTGCTGTGGTTTGCATTTTTGCAAAGTTGCTTTTGGGAAAACAGAGCAAGGGTTTGCATTATTTATTTATTTATTTATTTTAGCCCTGTTTGCTGCTTAAAGTATTATTATTATTATTATTATTATTATTATTATTATTATTGGATACATGACAATATTGGTACACAGCAACCAGGTTTACTATGCTGGCTTTTGTTTTCAATCACACATCGGACATTTCCCACGTCACAGGTGTAGCGGACAGGTGGTGATTTTGTCAGCACCAATTGTTTTTAAGTGCAGGCCAGGGTCTTTAGGCACTGTACCCGGTGTGCCAATCACCACTGGGACCACCTCTACTGGCTTGTGCCAGAGTCTTTGCAGTTCGATACCATGGCTCAGTGCTGTGGAATCATGGGAGTTGTAGTTTGGACAAGACACCAAGAGTTCACCACATTGGTCCAGTTTCTTCTTTCTCTCTTCTTTCTCTTTGCAAAAGGAATGTCCCCATCTTCCCTCCCTCCTTCCTTCTCTTTCTTTTGCTTCCTCCATTCTTCCCTTCACTTTGTCCTCTCCTTCCTTCGCTCTCTTCTTCTCTTTCCTTCCTCCCTGTCTTCTTTCTCTCTTTGGAGCGTTGCAGAATGGATCCTTCTTTTCCCTCTTTCCCTCTTTAGTTCCCACCTTCCATCCTTTCCTTCCATTCATCCCTCTCTGGAGCTTTACAAAAAGGATCTTTCCATTTTCTACCCTTTCCTTCCCCTTTTTTCTTCCCTTCCTTCCTTCTTTCCTTCATCTGCATCTGTATTGTCGAATGAATGCAGTTTGCCACCCCTTCTTTCCTTTTCCCTTCTCCTCCTCCTCCTTTCCTTTTTCCTCTCCTTCCCTCCCTCCTTCCTTCCTTTCTTCTTTTCTATCCCCTCTTTCTTTTCTTTCCATTTCTTCTTCCCTTTCTTGCTTCCCTCCCTTTACTCCTTCCTCTTCCTTTCTTTTCTCCTTCCCTTTCTCCCTTCCTTCCTTTCCTTCCTTCCTTCCTTCCTTCCTTCCTTCCTTCCTTCCTTCCTTCCTTCTTTTTCCTTTCCTTCCCTGGAGCTTTACAAAAGGAATCCCTCTTTTCCCCTCCCTTTGTCCTTTCCTTCTCTTCCTTCCTCTGTCCTTTCATTCCCTTCTTTCTTCCTCCTCCTTCCTTCTTCTCCTTTCTTCTTTTTCTACTCTTTCTTTCCCTTCCTCCTTCCTTCTTCTTTGTCCTTTTTCTTCCTTCTTTCTTCCTCCTTCTTTCTTCCTCTTTCTTCTCTCTCCTTTTCTCCCTCTTTCTTTCCTTCTTCTTCCTTTTTTCTCCTTCCTTTTTTCCTTTCTTCTCTTCCTTTTTCTTTCCTTTCCTTCCTCCCTCCTTCTTTCTTCTTCCCTCCTTTCTTCCCTCCTCTTTTTCCTTCCCTTTCTTCCCTTCCATCCTTCCCTTTCTTCTTTTCCTTCCTTCCTTCTCCTTTCTTTCTCCTTCCTTCCTCTCCTTCCTTCCTTCCTTTCCTTCCTTCCCCTTTTTTCTCTCCTTCCTCTTCCCTTCCTTCTTCTCTCCCTTCCTTTTCCTCTCCTTCCTCCCTTCCTCCTTCCTTTCTTCTTCCTTCTCTTTCTTCTTTCCCTCCCTTTCTTTTCCTTCCTTCCCCTCCTTCTTTCTTTTCCCTGAAGCTTTACAGAAGGAATCACACCCATCCCTTCCTCCTTTCCTTCTCCTCCTTCCTTCTTCTGTCTTTTCATTCCCTTCACTTTCTCCTTCTTTTCTTCCTTCCTTCTTTCCTTCTTTTTCCTTTCTTCCCTTTCCTTCCTTCCCCTTAATTCCTTTAATCTCCTCCTTTGCTCTTGTTGTTTTAACATTTGTGAGATGCTTTCAGTTTGAATCTGTTTCTTGAATGGCAGGACAGAACGTTAAGACTTTTGTGCCGGGCCCTAACAAGTAAAATTAATCACTTTATTATTTCCTGGCTTGTTGGTGTGTGTGTGTGTGTGTGCACACGTGATGTAACTCTGATTTTAATGGAATAACTTTCTACCACACGTATTGGAACTTGCTAATTCTTTATACTCCTTTATTCTGTATTTAATTAAATTAAATTTAGCCTGAAATTATTAACTTTCCCCTTCCTTCCTTTCTTCTTTTCCCTTTCCTTGCTCCTTTCCTTCTCCTCCTTCCTTCCTCTGTCCCTTTCATTCCCTTCACTTTCTCCTCCCTTCCTTCCCTTTCCCCTTCCTTCCTTTCTTCTTTTCCCTTTCCTTGCTCCTTTCCTTCTCCTCCTTCCTTCCTCTGTCCCTTTCATTCCCTTCACTTTCTCCTCCCTTCCTTCCCTTTCCCCTTCCTTCCTTTCTTCTTTTCCCTTTCCTTGCTCCTTTCTTTCTCCTCCTTTCTTCTTCTGTTCTTTCCTTCCTTCCTTCCTTCCTTTCTTCCTTCCTTAATCCTTTCCTTCCTTAATCCCTTCCTTTCTTAATTCTTTCCTTTCTTCTTCCCTCCCTTCCTTTCTTACTTCTTTCTTTAATTCCTTCCTTTCTTAATCTCTTCCTTCCTTTCTTAATTCTTTCCTTCTTTTCCCTTCCTTCCTCCTTTGCTTCTCTCCTTCCTTCCTCTTCCTTTTCCTTCCTTCTCCTTCCTTCCTTTCCTTCTTTCCTTTCCTCCCCTTTCTTCTTTCTCCCTTTCTTTCCTTCCTTTCCTTCCCTTCTTCCTTTTCTTTTCCCTTCTCCTCCTTTCTTCTCTCTCCTTCCTCTCCTTTCTCTTTCCCTCTCTCTTTCTTCCTTCCCTTTCCCCTTCTCTTCCTTCTTCCTCCCCTTCATCCTTTTCCCTTCCCTTGCTTCTTTCCTTCTCCTTCCATCCTCTGTCTCTTCCCTTCCCTTTTCTTCTCTTCCATTCCCTCCCCACTCTTTGCCCTTCCTCCTTCAAGGTTTGACACACACACACACACACACACACACACACACACACAAATCCTTCCTTATGGGAACTTCAGGAGATCCATCCTGCCCTCCCTCTTCTTCCCTCCCCTTCTCTCCCTCCTTTTCTTTCCCTTCCACCTTCCTCCCTTCCCTTCTCTTCTTCTCTTCCATTCCCTCCCCACTCTTTGCCCTTCTCTCTCTGGAGGTTTGCACACACACACACACACACACACACACAAATCCTTCCTTATGGGAACTTCAGGAGATCCATCCTGCCCTCCCTCTTCTTCCCTCCCCTTCTCTCCCTCCTTTTTCTTTCCCTTCCACCTTCCTCCCTTTCCCTCCACCAGAGGGAAGCCAAACGCCAAGAGTGGAGGCTGGAAAGAAGGGAAAGGGGGAGAGGAGTGTTGGGGGGCCCCTCCTTTTCTGTGTCCCAGAGTGGCCCCGCCCACTCTGACGTCAGAATGCGCTTTCTGGGGGCCCCTCCCTCCCCTCCCGCCCCCTTTGGCTCAGTCCTCGCCCGGCCAAGCCTTTGCAAGGAAGGCAAGAGAGAAGCAGCTGGTGGGGGAAAGGGAGAAGAGGAAGGAGGAAGAAGGCTGGGGAGGGGGAGAGCCAGCCAAAGCATTGCAGAACCCTCCTCTGATTGACTTGTTGTGGAGAGCTGCTCTCCACTCAGCAAAGGATTGGCAGGAGCTGTCCATTTCAGCACCACTCCGCGCAGCCTTGGAGCTGTCCATTCAGCACCAGGATCTCTCCTGAGCGCAGCCTTGGAGCTCTCCCTTTCTCTGCTTTCCGCCTTGCCGGGATGGGGCGGGATGGCCTCCTCTCCGGTGCCGCCTCCGCCCAGGATGCCGGGGCCGAGGCACAGGGCATCCCGGCTGCCGCGCTCAGGGAACCCGGCTCAGAATGAAGACGGAGGAGGAGGAGGCAGCGGCCGGAGTGCCTGAGCGGCGGAGGCGGCGGAGGAAGGGGGTCGGAAAGGGAGGCGGCGGCAACGGTGGCCCCCCAGCGCCGCCATGTCGGTGCCCTTGCTGAAGATCGGCGTGGTCCTCAGCACCATGGCCATGATCACCAACTGGATGTCCCAGACCTTGCCCTCCTTGGTGGGGCTCAACACCACCAAGCTCACCGCCGCGTCCGGGGGCACCTTGGATCGGAGTACCGGAGTGAGTGTCGGGCGTGGGAGGGGCTGCGTGGGAGGGGCCTCACGGGTGTGGACCTCACGGGCACCCATCGTTTGTGGCCAACTGAGTCCAGAATTCTCAGCTGAGGGACCTCAAGGGTGACTTAACCTTTTGTGGGGATTGTGGTAGATTTTGGTGGATTCCTTGGGGATTGTGATCTTGCAGAGGTGAGCGTCCAACAGGGAGGTTCTTGGTGGTCAAGCAAGTCCAGAATTCTCGGCTTAGGGACCTCAAGGGATGAATGAGCTCGGTAGCCTTAACCAACAGGGAGGTTCTTGGTYGTCTTCCCAAAATCTCCAGGACCTCAAGGGAGGGTAGAGSTTGGAACCAAGTTATGGAAGAGAAGTGGGTATGGACCTCACGGGCACCCATTGTGGGTTGTGGTCAAGCAAGTCCAGAATTCTCAGCTGAGGGACCTCAAGGGATGAATGAGCTCGGTGCCTTAACCTTTCGTGGGGTTTGTGGTGGATCGTTTGTGGTCAAACGAGTCCAGAATTCTCGGCTGAGGGACCTCAAGTGATGAATGAGCGCGGTGCCTTAACCTTTTGTGGGGCTTGTGGTGGATTCCTTGGGGATTGTGATCTTGCAGAGGTGAGCGTCCAACAGGGAGGTTCTTGGTGGTCTTCCCAAAATCTCCAGGATCTCAGGGAAGGGTAGAGGTTGGGACCAAGTTATGGAAGAGAAGTGGGTATGGACCTCACGGGCACCCATTGCTAGTTGTGGTCAAGCAAGTCCAGAATTCTCCACTTAGGGACCTCAAGGGAAGAAAAAGCTTGGTGCGTTAACCTTTTGTGGGGTTTGTGGTGGATTCCGTGGGGATCGTGATCTTGCAGAGGTGAGCATCCAACAGATGCAAATCATGATGGTCTTCCCAACATCTCCAGGACCTCAGGGGAGGGTAGAGGTTGGGACCAAGTTATGGAAGAGAAGTGGGTATGGACCTCACGGGCACCCATTGGTGGTTGTGGTCAAGCAAGTCCAGAATTCTCGGCTTAGGGACCTTGTGGTGGATTCCTTGGGGATCATGATCTTGCAGAAGTGAGCATCCAACAGATGCAAATCAGGATGGTCTTCCCAACATCTCCAGGACCTCAGGGGAGGGTAGAGGTTGGGACCAAGTTATGGAAGAGAAGTGGGTATAGACCTCACGGGCACCCATTGCTAGTTGTGGTCAAGCAAGTCCAGAATTCTCGGCTGAGGGAACGCAAGGGATGAATTGAGCGTGGTGCGTTAACCTTTTGTGGGGCTTGTGGTGGATTCCTTGGGGATGGTGATCTTGCAGAGGTGAGCGTCCAACAGGGAGGTTCTTAGTAGTCTTCCCAAAATCTCCAGGACCTCAGGGGAGGGTAGAGGTTGGGACCAAGGTATGGAAGAGAAGTGGGTATGGACCTCACGGGCACCCATTGCTGGTTGTGGTCAAGCAAGTCCAGAATTCTCAATTGAGGGACCTCAAGGGGTGAATGAGCTTGGTGCCTTAACCTTTTGTTGGTTTTGTGGTGGATTCCTTGGGAATTGCGATCTTGCAGAGGTGAGCGTCCAACAGGGAGGTTCTTGGTGGTCTTCCCAATATCTCCAGGACCTCAGGGGAGGGTAAGGTTGGGACCAAGTTATGGAAGAGAGGTGGGTATGGACCTCACGGGCATCCATTGCCGGTTGTGGTCAAACAAGTCCAGAACTGTTGGCTGAGGGACCTCAAGGGATGAAAGAGCTTGGTGCCTTAACCTTTTGGGGTGTTGGTGGCTGATTCCTTGGGGATTGTGATCTTGTGGAGGCAAGCGTCCACCTGATGCAAATCAGGATGGTCGTCCCCAACATCTCCAGGACCACAGGGGGGAGTACAGGTTGGGACCAAGGTATGGAAGAGAGGCAGGTTCCTCTTCTTAACATCTCCTGGACCTCAGAGGAGGGTACACGTTGGGACCGAGGTATGGAAGAGAGTTGGGTTCATTGTCCATCCTCCTGGACCCGAGGAACCTCAATGGGATAGGTATCTCAAGTTCCTCACCTTTGGGGAGGTGATGGCAAATCCCATTGGGATTCTGACCAAAGATATGGAGCCTAGAAAGATAGTCATGGAAGGAAGGATTATCAACTAGATGCAACTCAGAGAGGTTCTTGATGGTCTCCCCAACATCTCCAGAACCTCAGGAGATGGTCTAAGATAGCTTTGGGATTCTGACCAAAGGTATGGAGCCTAGAAAAACAGTCATGGAAGGATCACCAACTAGATGGAAGTCAGATGACTTCTTGATGGTCTCCCCAACATCTCCAGAACCTCAGAAGATGGTCTAAGATAGCTTTGGGATTCTTATCACAGCTATGGAAACTAGAAAGTCATTGCAGATCCCATTAGGATTCTGACCAACGGTATGGAGCCTAGAAAGACAGTCATGGAAGGATCACTAACTAGATGGAACTCAGCTTGGTTCTTGGTGGCCTCCCCAACATCTCCAGAACCTCAAAAGATGGTCTAAGATAGCTTTGGGATTCTAACCAAAGCTATGGAAGCTAGAAAGTCATTGCAGATCCCATTGGAAAGACTGTCATGGAAGGATGACCAATTAGATGGAACTCGGTTTGGTTCTTGGTGGTCTCCCCAACATCTCCAGAACCTCAGAAGATAGTCTAAGATAGCTTTGGGATTCTGACTAAAGGTATGGAAGCTAGAGAGTCACTGCGGATCCCATTGGGATTTTGACTAAAGGTATGGAAGCCAGAGAGTCACTGCGGATCCCATTGGGATTCTGACTAAAGGTATGGAAGCTAGAGAGTCACTGCGGATCCCATTGGGATTCTGTCCAAAGGTATGGAGCCTAGAAAGAGAGTAATGGAAGGATGACCAACTAGATGGAACTCAGCTTGGTTCTTGGTGGTCTTCCCAACATCTCCAGACCTCTGGGGAGGGTAAGGTTGGGACCAAGTTATGAAAGAGAGATGGGTATGGACCTTACGGGCACCCATTGCCGATTGTGGTCAAACAAATCCAGAACTGTTGGCTGAGGGACCTCAAGGGATGAAAGAGTAATGGAAGGATCACCAACTAGATGAAACCCAGCTTGGTTCTTGGTGGTCTCCCCAACATCTCCAGAACTTCGGAAGATGGTCTAAGATAGCTTTGGGATTCTGACCAAAGCTATGGAAGCTAGAAAGTCATTGTGGATCCCGTTGTGATTCTGACCAATAGTATGGAGCCTAGAAAGCGAGCCATGGAGGGAAGGATCATCTAGATGGAACCCAGAGAGGCTCTCGATGGTCTCTATAACATCTCCAGAACTTCAAAATACTGTGGACCACAGTTGAGGAGCTCCTGGTGTAGATCAAAGCACACCTTCTGCCCTACCTGCTTCTTCTCTTGTTGGGGAGGGCGATTAGAGTGAGGAGGACCCCCGAGTGAGTGGCAGGTGGCACCACATGGGTGCCCTTGACTCACTCGCTTGAGTCACAACCGTCTGCCACTTGGACTCCTCTATGAAATAGATGATTTGAGTGTTTTGGAGAAGGAAGGGTGTCTTCTGGCAGTTCTAAGGGGGAGGTGTGGGGAAAAGCAGGGGGCAGAGGTGAGGCTCAGGAGCCCAGCCTCCTCCTCGGCAAGCATCTGTCGCCGTAAATCCTGTGCGCAACAGTCTGCTCTGCCCATTGCTCAAGGACTGCAGCACCGAGTTACGGCTTGGCATGTGCGAACACACCACATGCCATGCTCAATGGAAAAGCAGCGAGCGGCAGAGAAAGGGGGGCACCCCACCGTGGCTTTCTCTGGCATTTCCATTCATAGGCGATGGATGGGGAGAGATGGAGGAGAAGAGATGGAGACAAAGGAGGAATGGACAGAGCTCTCCATCCTGTGCATTTCTCTTTAGAGGTCTTCAAGCCACGCCAGGTAGCAATCCATTGGTTGGTGATTGATCGCCCCATTGAGATCATTGTGCATGTTTCGGTTGGGGAGACCACGTCTGCTCCAATACAGATGTTTGGGAAGTGTTCGACGTGTGATCCAATACAACGGCCAGCATAGGGATCTTGTTTGCTGTGTGCTAATCTTGTTGTGTATCAAATCATCATCATCATCATCATATCAAACTGCAAAGACTCTGGCACAAGCCAGTCAAGGGGGTCCCAGTGGTGATGGGCATACTGAGTGCAGTGCCTAAAGACCTTGGCCTGCACTTAAAAACAATCGGCATTTACCAAATTACCACCTTTAAAAGCTTTAAAAGGCCACCTTACTCAGACCTGCTCACATTATTCACAGATACATCACATAGTCCTAGACGTAGTCCTAGACGCCCGATATGTGATCCAATACAACAGCCAGCAGAGTTATCTTGTTTGCGGTGTACTAATCTTGTAGTTTTTCTAATAATAATAATAATAATAATAATAATAATGACAATAATAATAATAATAATAGAGTGTCTGCTGTGGACTCATCTTGTTGTGTTTCTAATAATAATAATAATAATAATAATATACCTCTAATATCCAATACTAATAATAATACAAATTAAATACATATAATATCCAATAATAATAATAATAATAATAATAATAATAATAATAATAATTAAATACTCTAATAGCCAATAATAATATAAATTAAATACTTTAATATCCAATGAGACTATAAATTAAATACCTCTAATACCCGATACTAATAATAATATAAATTAAATGCATATAATATCAAATAATAATAATAATAATAGTAAATTAAATACTGTAATAGCCAATAATCATATAAATTAAATACCTCTAATATCAAATAATAATAATATAAATTAAATACTCTAATATCCAATGATACTATAAATTAAATACCTCTAATATTCAATAATAATAATAATAATAATAATATAAATGAAATACTCTAATAGCCAATAATAATATAAATTAAATACCTCTAATATCCAATAATAATAATATAAATGAAATACTCTAATATTCAATGATAATATAAATTAAATACCTGTAATATTCAATAATAA